AAAAAAAAAAAACAATTATTAGTCAAACATAGCTACGAGATAAGCATACAGAAGAATCGAATTTTTGCCCTCATATATAATATAACTCTTCCATATGAGTTTCGCTGCCTTTTAAGTAAAACCACTCCCAAAACAAAAACTTCATGGTGATTTGGATGAAGTGTATACACCCCATCAACATCTATTACACATACAATATCAACTTAGAGCGTTCTAATAGACGTAATCTATTGAGATATTATACAAATTATGCTTCTCCTTATGTATGATGTAGACATTTTATAAATTTATATCGAAATTATATCTAAATGTAAACAATTAGTTATTTTAGTACATTGACTAAAAAATCCTGTAGGATTAAATTAGAACACCGCTGGAAAGTACATTGAATTGCCTATTTTTGATAATAAATCTTTTGTTAAATATATAAATTGAATCATTACTTTAATACGTTATAGATAAATGTGTATATGCATATAAATAAGGTGTGGGAATAATATTTCAATTTATATATTAAAATCAGATTTAATATAAGCAATCCTAGTACTAACTTGATATTTTTTTATATTTGCTAATAATATTAAATTTTGTTTGTTTATATTTTCTATGTGCTCTAAATACAAATCGATAAGCTTCTACATATTTTAAATGTATTGCATTTCTACCTCATCATGAATAAACTGGTCCATTTTTGTTTAGGCTTGCTGCTAAGTTATCCATTAAGATGAAATTAGAAGTATTTTATTGTCTGTATTCTAATAATTAAAATTAATTTAAATACTACTTTAATCATTTTCATAGGTGTCAATATATTAGCTTTCTTTACTAATTCATGTTTATATCATTGCTAGCTTCTTTTTTTTCCGCAATATATAGTTGAAATACTTGTTGTTGGTTTTCATAAATCTTGCTAAAGCTCCAGATCATGTGCTGTATTTTATTAAACATTGATTTAATTATTTTAACAAATTTACAAAATTAAATTTTATATTTTTTAAAATATAATATCAATTATTGAATCTCTTAAGATTTACTAAATATATGAGAATGATTAGCTTATTTTGTTCCGAATGCCATAATTATTGCTGCATACATATATATTCAAACCCAAAAAGTATATATATAGTAAAATATTCTTGGTAAATTTTTTTTTAAATAAACTGAATCAGTTCCCGTTGTGGGCGTCAATCAGTAACAAACAAATCATCAAATCATATATTATTATGCTACACTAAAATTAATAAATGATATATGAAATTCATTATGTATGCAAACATAATATTGACCTTCTAATATCTAATATCTTTTTATGAATTATTTGAATTTGTTTATTAAGATTAGGAGAAAAAAGATTTGCCCCGAAAGAATTGGCAAAATTTTCAGTTGTTGGATATTTGAATAAAATAAAAGAAATAATAAAAATCAGCTAAAATGAAAAAGGAAAACATTTATTAATTTCGTTGCAGTAATCCTTCCTACTGCAGTCCGGTTCGCAACTTCATCTTCATAAAATGCGGTGATTGATGAAGCCGAATTAAGCAAACCGTGCCGCGCTTTGCCAAAAAAAAAAAAACGCTTTAATCCAGCAAAGGAAAAAAAACGAGATGTAGAAATCTGCAATTTAGTGGCGCGTATTGTGTGAACTCATCATTGTCAGAAATGCGCCGCGGCGCATGCAGACAATACATCTCGAAAATAAAAACAAGAAAAAAATGAAATAAAAATATATAAAATAATATTTACCAATGCTGCCAAAAAGAAGGTTTTACTTTATTTAGTTTTTGTTTTATTCTTTTACTTTAAGTCTTGTTGCTGGCTATTTGCTGATGTGGTGAAGATTTTGGGGTTTAATAGCTGTGGGAAAGACATTCTACACATTCATACAAGAGTTGTTACGTACGTGCAAAATGCAAACAGACGGACGGGCTGAACAGACTAAGATACAGAAGGACAAACATATGGACGGACATGTATCTACACAGTAAATTTGTTGTACACGTTGCTCATGTTTGAGCTCGTTATTGTTATAAATAAGTTAATAATATGGCGGAAGGTGGCCTTTTGTCGTCTGTGTTGTACGTTTTTGTTGTACACATCATAAGCTGCAAAAAAATAAGAGCAAAAACAGCCACTTAGCATACAAATAATGTGAGTGAAGCCAACTAACGCTACACCCTGCAGCAAAGGAAGTCACGGATTTTCGCTTCTACAGTTTTCTTCTTTGCTTCTTTTTTTGTTTTTTTTTTTTGGTTTTTTAATATACCACTTCTTTTTGTTGAATTTCTTTATTTTGGTTTTATTAAATGATTTAACCGTCCTCAAGCCAAAATTCATGTTCATGTCCAAGACTGTCCGTTTGAGTTGCTTTTGTACTTTATTTATATATATATATCTGCATATAGGTATATGTATGGCAATAAAAGGAGACAGCCTCTGCTATATACGATAATACAATATCAAGTTGGACCACACCACCGTATTTATGTTTAAGGTTAGGGCGTACGTGCTAAAGGATAATCAGCACAAGCGCCTGCGCTTTTTTACTCCGTGCAGCGTTCAGCACTGCAAAAACGCTATTCACTTTGTTATTGTTTTCGTTTTTTGCAAAAAAAAAAAAAACAAATTATTGTTGATTTTTTGAAACTGTGTGTTAAAGTCAACGACTTTTTCCTCTTTTCACATAAAAAGAAATGGAAACAAACGTTGTTTCACTTAAGATTTTTATTGTTTCAGTTAAACAGATTTGCGCGAACGCATAAAGTTTGTGTCTTAAGTCTTTCGTCTTTAACGCTCTTACAATTATCGCATTTGTGATTGCCACCCGCAACGTAATTACTTAATTTCTTTGGCATTTCCGCATATTAATTTTGCGGTTTGGCTGTCCTATATTTTGTTTTGAAATTTTTTCTGATTTTGATAAAATTTTAATTTTATATATTTTAACAAATATTATCTGAGGAAAAATTTAGCGGCCTTTAAAGAGTTCGTGACTTTGATTTTGTAATAAATAAATCAAGATTATGTCAAAGCTTACGTGAAACAAAAATGTATTATTTTGTCATAAACTTATATTTTTTTTGTTTTAACATTGCTTGTCAGATGAGTAATCTCCTTCAAATGAAGATATCTATTTTACTGAGTTTCTACATCACGATTTTTCGGATAGTTAAGTCAATGTCAATCATCTAAACTTTTATCTCATTTATATTTACTTTATTATGTCAGTAAGATACATTTTTTGTTCCGATTATTATATATAAAATTTTAGAAACCCAGCTGTACATATATGTATTTATTTTTTATAGATATTATTTATTAATTACATATTTTTGAATGGACTAATTGATCAATGTTAAATAATATACAACTCCTTAAGTCAGATTACACAAAGTAAATGTAAGTCATCTAAACTTTTATCTCATTCGTTTATAGTTTATTAAGTTAATACATATATACATACATATATATTTTTTTTATACCTAAGTATTATTTATTAACTAAATATTTAGATATGTTTGAAGCGGCTCAAAGAGTTTGAAGTATCAATGTTAAATAATAACTCTAAGTCAGTTTTTAACATGTTGCAGTCTGTTTTTATTTAAATATTTATATTCTTTCATATTTGATATAAGCTACGAACTTGCGACAATATATAACATAGTCAATACCCGCATTTCTTTCATGCATATAATAGATACTTATTAAGATAAATGTACTTCAACGCGGTAGTAATTTTATGAAACAATACATATTATGGTTTTGAAAGTAAAACACTCTTATTTGAAGTATTAAATCTGTTTTTAATGCAGAAATCGAGTTATTACATATATAACCTACTTAGATATTTAAAAAAGATTTCATATTCAAAACATACAATGAAAATTACTTTCCAGCGGTGTTCTAATTTAGTCCTTAAAGATGTTTAAGTCAATGTATTAAAATAACCAATTCTTCATATCTGCAAATGATTTAGATATTATTTTATAAAATGTCTAAATTGACCATAATGAGAAGTATAATATCTCAGTAGATTACGGTTGTCAGTAAGCTGTCAGGCTATTTTGTATGTGTAATAGATAGTATTGAAATATAAATACTTTCATTTGGTGTCTGTATTTTGTGGTTCTATACGAACAGAACACCTGTATTGTTCGTATGTTAAAATTTTTATTTCAGTACTGTTGATTTTTTTAATACTATATACACGTCACTAAAATCTGGATGACAATTTTAAGGTGTGTTATGGTTACTTCTGTAATCT